AGATCACGAACAACGAGCTGATCCGTCAGCGACTCATTGTCTACTTATCACTCGTACTCATCGGCGGTCTCGTCAACGACTTCACGCCACTGATCACCAGATCCTTCATGTTTAAGGTCCAGAAGACTAATGTCTTGAACCAGTGGTTCGTTAAGATCGGCTGGTTTTGGACGCTAGCGCTCACATCGCCGCTGATTGCCATCACCACAGCTGTTCTCGCGGACGATAGGCGCCATTGGGAGGACAAGGATGTGATTACCGGTGGCTACCCGTCGCTGAGGGACCGGTGGGCGCGTCGGGCGCGACGTCTGATGCCATACCTCAGGACACGACAGATGTTTAGACTGGTGTTCAACACCGCCATCTGGTACGTGTCCACCAACTTCTTCCTGTACTTCGAGGACATCACCGGTTCCTGTCTGTACCCAAACGACATCATGTATGACGACAACGGTATGACATGAATATGTATACGATTTATGGCCACATTTATGTGACCCATATCTGTATCAATCAATTGATACGCGAGAGACTAATCGATGGTATGTCTTATGGTATGTCTTAGAGAACGCCAGCAAAACGGTGTGCCTGAAGAGTGGCAACAAATGGATCCCCGGGTTCGACATCAGTGGCCACACGTTTCTGTTGATCTTCTCGAACCTGATTCTCATCGAAGAGTCGGCGGTTATGATCGGTTGGGAACCGTTTGGACACCAATTGTTCGCCGAAAACGCTAACCACGAGAGGGAACAGAAGCTGATCCCAAGAGGCGAACAGTTCCGGCTCTACAACAAACACTCGGCGTCCGTACGGCTGTTGTTCATCGCGATGACGATATTGTCGCTGATCTGGGACTTCATGTTACTCCAGACGTCACTGTTTTATCACTCGATGCTCCAGAAACTGGTGGCCGCCGTGTGGGCGGTCACCGCCTGGGCGCTCACCTACCGGTACGCCTACCGGCGCTTTGATATCGACGTAAAGCCGCCTAAACTTAGCCGCAGTTTATAGAGATTTGTTAGTAATTATTAAATTATACATAAAATTCATTAAAATGTTGTTATTTTTAGTTTGTTTTTAATTTTATTTGTATTTTTTAAATCAGTTTCTAATGTAATGTTTTATATAATGAAAAGTAAATGTATTTTTTGAGGCCATTAGGAGACCAGTGTTTGTTAGGCCTTACCCGTGGGTCTCCTATCCGTCCGGAATCTCGCGCTCAATGACAAAGTATTTATGAATATTCTGTTATTCTGTACAAAAATGTTTGATATATTAATATATGATAATAATTGGACTGTTGTTTAGCTCTGAAGTGAATTAACAATAATTTTGTAAATTTCTAAATACTTGCGAATAATATAAAAATATTTGTCTTTTGAAATACTATTGAAATGTATTTTTTTGTGATAAGAATGGGATTTATCTATCGTTTTACGACCAGAATATATAGTAGTCTTAAGATTGTGGCAAAACAGATGTCGTGATTATCACCGGATAACAGGTCCACAAGAGTTAAGTCTGAAGTATATGTCGTGCGAAAAGTGTTGCAATTTTATGAATGAATTCATTATTGATTTTCCATACATAGGAATCGTGTGTATAATCGGACGGAAAACTTATACACAAAATTGAATTAAATATTTTGTTTAAATGTATAAATATTTTACAGTTTAAGCAAAAATTTATTGTACGAAATGTTTTGAGCAAACGTTTTGATCGATTGAAAACTCGCTGTGAATATGATTTATAACACCATTGAATGACACGAAAGCTATATATCAGAGGACTTCAGAGATCTTATGCCTGTTTATCGCGAAAATATGTTATGTATTATAAAAGCTAATTATAGGCCCAAAACATACAAAGCTTATGTAGGTTTTGTCAGCTAAATAGGAAACGGTTCCTTTAGTTTTAATGAAAATATTCTGTATATTCTGCATATTATATACAGAATATACAGAATATAATGGGGTTTCATTAAATAACAAACAAAAAAAGTTTTATACGTTAAATAAACATTTTTGCAAACATGTTCATTAATTATTGCTTTGTTACATAACTAGTAACATGATTTACTGTTGAAATGTGTATGATTTTAGTGTTTTTGGAGAATATATGTATGTAATATTAAAATTCACTAATTAAATACTATTTTATACATTTGTGTAGTTGAAGGTTACATAATTAAAATCGATAATTAATGTGTGTTACACGCACAAAAATTATTATCTAGTTTGTTGAGATGTATAGATAAGGATTTTCACAAATNCTCAACAAAAATGACATTGATAACTAGTAAACTGTGTATAATATGGACTTTCGCACTGATATTACACGAGATTCAGTGTACGTACGGTGTGTTATGCCCACCGGAGTCCCTCATGACTCCCTGCACCTGCAACTCGACCACCAGTGAGATCTCGTGTAAGGGCGCCGACATCTCCATCGACACCGTGTTCACCAAAATCGCCGAATACCTGCCCGAAAGTCACCGGGACTTCCAAGTCCTGTATCTAAACGCCCGGTCAGTACAGCGCCTGGAGGCCAACCAATTCAAAGGCATCCGTTTCCGGCAGATATTGTTAGGCGGCTCACGGCTTACCTATATTCACGGCGAGGCCTTCCGGGGCACTCACCTACAGGTGCGCGAGTTGTTCGCGTTCGCCACCAACCTGTCCATCAGTGTTGACCCAAACTATGATTTGTTTCGCGCGATCACATCCCTGGCCAACTTACAGAAACTAGTCATCTCCGGTAGTAATCTGCACGCCATTCCCGATAGGTATGTGTCGTACGGTTATGGCAACCCTTTTGTGAGAGATTTTTTGGTTTTTAGCACTTATTGTTTGGCGTATATTAATAATGCATTTATATTAGGATTTAGTGTTTTTTATGATAATAATAAACCACTTTTCGTAATATAATATTAAATACAAACTCACTGTTTGAGTGAGATTTATATGGTTTTTGGGTTTACTTTAACGCTTATCTCCAATGGATGTGTCGCTGAAATATTAATCAAAGTGTTTTAGTTAACTCGGCGAATGATTAATTGCTTGCTCATTTACTAGTATACTTCATAAGTGTGTGTGTGTGTGAATATACTACCATAATTCACACCTACTTTCTATATAAATATAATATTATATTAATCGCATGCATAGCCCCAAAAACCTCAACAGCTATTTGTTTAAAAGATTTATTTCTTACGTATATTACAGCTAAAAGTCTATTAAAAAAATGAAAAATAGCTAATAATTAAAATAAATTACTGACAATTAGGGCGTTTAAGGCCAGGGATGGCAGTATCCAACACAACCTCACAGACATAGAGCTGGGTCTGGGTGTGAGCGCCACCATTACGGCCATAGGGAGCGAGGTATTCGCCGACCTACCGGCCCTTAGGACAGTAGGTCTCTCGAATCACGCGTAATATGTGTATTCGGCATTCCGTAAGCGACCGCTAACCGGCAGTTTATTTTGTGAATGGTAGCTAAACTGCCCATTAAGTGACTTGCTATCGTCAAAGCTATCGGTCCGGAAATACCCGCGATATAGGTATTGACTCTGACATGTGTGTTAGGCTAACCGTCCACTTATATATATACTAATACATTTAACTGTAATCTAATGTGATATATACGTATCGTTACGCCGATTACGATCGCCATAACTCGACAGACCGTTAAAAATCTACTTCGGACTCAATGGCTGTAATAAAAACCTGACGTCCCTTTCGCAGCCAGTTTTTGAGGCTTTCCTGAGTGACAACCCGCTGAATGGCATAGATATGGGCCGGGGATGCGGTCACGTGGTGTGCGACTGTCGCATGGGTTGGGTAGTCACCGGAAATTACGAGCAACAGATCAAGAATCTCAAGTGTCTGGATGGACAGACACTTTATGAGTCCCTGTCCACTGATAGGAATGGTAGAGCGAGCGATGGTAGCACTGATGTCCGGTATAAGTGCGGTCAAGTAGTCAAATCAGTGGCCATACCGGAGCCGGACGCTAATATACTGACTAATCGGAGGGCTGTTAGCAATAAATCGCGTTCACTGACCGACTCGGACGAGGAGTAAGTGTTTTTCAGTAGTGTTTGTATTATGTATGTCGACGTGTTTTGTGTGAATAATTTATGNTCAAATCAGTGGCCATACCGGTGCCGGACGCTAATATACTGACTAATCGGAGGGCTGTTAGCAATAAATCGCGTTCACTGACCGACTCGGACGAGGAGTAAGTGTTTTTCAGTAGTGTTTGTATTATGTATGTCGACGTGTTTTGTGTGAATAATTTATGACCATGGTGATGTAAATTTAATGCATGTATGTATTTATTCTGTGTATTTATTCTGCGCTATTGAGTAATGAATTGGAAATGGATTACGAGTACAGCGAGAGTCGCGTCGATTTATGTCTGACCGACGAGTGCTACGAGATATCCACCGAAATGAAGAAATACTTAAACAAATCACTCAATCCGTGCGACAATTTCTACGACTACGCCTGCGGGGGCTGGGAGGACAGCCACCTCCTCGAATACTTAGTACAACTACTGTCTAATGGGGGTGTGGAGTACGACAACTTCGTGAAACTCCGGCAACAAATAGACCTGAATTTGGATACAATTCTGTCGCGAGTCGTGAATAATAGCCAGGAGTTGCCAGTCGTTAGGAACGCCATTAATATGTATCAGAAATGCAAACTAAGTGCTAATGAACTGAATGTGGAGTCATTAATGGCTACTTTACGCGAGATGGGAGGGTGGCCTATCGTGGGCAGCGCCGGTATGGCCATTAGTGCGGATTATAAGTGGCAAAAGGCGCTGGCTTATATATACTCGTACATTAGGAGTGATGTATTAATAAATTTAGATTATGTTATAAACGAGAATTCAGTCAAACAACTCAAGTTAAGTACATATATATACTCAATATACACACGAATATTCTGTGCTATATTCAACACACATATACACAGAATATTATATAAATATATACATACAGAATATTCTATATACTATTCTCTCGGTATGTGTGTATATATAGAATATTCTGTATAGCAATGCGGTATATAACTAGACACAGTATATATATATATACAGTAATATGTAACTACTGCAACAGCACTGGTATCCAATTCCTTGTGTATCTTTTATTCAAACATTTCATTGCCTTTAGATTCAAATCTATAGCTTAAGTCACAATATATATAGACATATAAAATAGTGAAGTAATTTAAAAATCAAATTACAAAACGCCGATTCAAACACACATAGAAATTGTATTCAATTTAATTCAATTGAAATATTTATTGCTCTAAACATATATACAGTGAAATGTTTAAAGCAAATTGAGTTTGATATAAGATTTCCACTGTATGTATAACTTATACAATATGAAAGTCAATGTATACTATGTTTTTCAGTGTATTTATATGTTTAGAAAAGTTAAATAATTTTCTCATTTACCAATAGAAATATATACAGATTTTAATATAAATGCAAATACTATATATACATAAATATAATAAGCAAATGAAATGATCCCTTTCCCGTCCCATTCCCCCCATAGATCTCTCATTCATCGTTCATTTTGTCGCAAATAATACTCTCGGATATGAATCGCAAGAAACATCTCCGAGACATCACATCCTACGCCAAATACATACACGACGTGTCGGTGCTATTGGGCGCACCCGCCAGCACTCATCCATCAGATAATCGCACCATCGGTGCTGCGTTTGATATCATCAAGTTTGAGTCGGAGGTGGCCAAGGTACATCTGTCACTGACATGTCTGTCCTGTCTGTCCATCACATTTTGTGAAACCCCTTATAGCGTGTGTATGTGTGTGTGACAGTCGCTGGTGAATAGGAGTTCCCATTCATGCGGTGGTGTATCGATCGGTCATCACCTCCAGCACCAGCTCTTAATATATATATCTTTTATATATAAAAGCCTATGAATGGTGTATAGCATAGGGTTTAAGCGATTTTTATGTCTGATTTCCCGTTAATGTCAAACTTGTTTATATTAAGTGTCACATGTCTTTCCGTTTGCACTCCGTTTTTACGGCACTTTTTTTGTGCCACTCTTAAGCAAACGTTAAGACATGGATTCGCTTTTATTTGCCACCGATTCAATCAAAACATGTATTAAATTTATTTTCGATATAAAATCGATTTGTTTGCGCCGTTGAGTAGAATGAGATGAGAGAGAGAGAGAGAGAGAAAGCTGATGCTGGAGATGATGAGAGTGAGTGTATTTGTGTGAGTCTCTCTCTCTCTCTCTCTCTCTCTCTCACACACACACACACAGGAGAGAGAGAGAGAGAGAGAGAGAGAGCAAGCAATAGAAAGTGATGGCACAGACACTTCATCACTCGTATAAGTAATTTAGTGCTTATTTTTTTGTGGGTTAACACAGATCTCAGACAAAAGTACTGGAAAGGAGTTTCAAGTGGAGAGACCACTGAAAACATTAGACTGTTTGGTACCCGAAGTCAATTGGATAGATATATTCAGCGACGTCCTAAACAACCACAACATCACGGGCGCCGACAAAAAAGACTTTCACAACATGAATGTCATCCTAGATATGCATTACATGATACGACTGTCACAGTTGTTACGTAAGACTCACCCGACAGTGGTAGCCAACTATCTGGGATGGCGTGTCGTGGAGACAGTAGGCTTTTTGACGGCCGGCCCACGGTTTTTAGGTTCAGTATGTCTATTGTGATGGCAATTGATTTTTATCTATCGCTATATACTGTATAGCTTTTATCGCCGCTGTAACAGAATATTCCCACAGAATTCACAGAATATTCTGTGCGAGAGATAGCGAAAACAATAGAGAATTCAATTCCAAACGCTAAATGCAATGTCAAGAACTGCCAGAATCTATAGAAATAGTGAAATAAAAGGCTGACAAATGAATCGCTTTATGGCCATATACTATACAATATATATTTACCGTATATATATATATATACACATACACATAGCCAGCCCTTGTTTTGAAATTAGATTTTAAACGAGAAAATGCTTTCAAAATAAAATAAAAATATAATTTCTGTAAAAGGTTTTCATAGACTGTTTTTGAGCGGATATTTTGTTTTTATGAACGGCTCGTATGAGTGAGCCTTTTGTGATCATAATATGAATTTATGTTTTATTAATGGCTGAGAGTTTGAGGTTTTGCTTTGAAATATCATATTTTTGTAGCTTTAAATACGTATCAACATAAATTATAGCCAGCACACAAAAAATCAATCCCCAATCATTAGGCGCGCTTTCAATTATCATAACTCAGAATCGATATAATTGTAACCTAGCTATATAAATCTTATCTTAATAAATAATTATATATTTATACCCAAGGCATTTACCATATATATTTAAAAATAATGTGTCTTAGCATGTCTTATAATGTAAAATAATGCTATATAGTATGTCTTATGCCTTATAATATGTAATATGTGAAAATAGTATATTATTTATGGGCTATATAAATATATATATAAATATATACGTTCACATATAGAGCACCAGCGTACATTTCACGACATACAATCCAGCGAAAGGACCAAGATCCTCTGGAAACAGTGTCTGGAGCCGTTGAAAACGCATTTACCATATCTGTTGACTCGCGAGTACGCGAAGACACATCTGACACAACCGGAGAGACTCCGCGTCTCGGAGATCGTAAAGTCGGTGAAACAATCCTTCATTGGACTCATCCGGGAGAAGCACTGGTTGGACAATAAGCTGGAGTTTGTGCATAAAGTGGAGGACATCAGCGAGAATGTCGGATATCCTGACTGGTTGCTCGACGACAGCCTATTCCTGGCATTCCATCAAAATCTGGTGATTATTATGATAGTCGTGCAGAATATTCTTTATGCTCACAGAATATGCACAATATTATCGCAGAATATTCACATATATATTCACAATATTCCCATATATTCTCATATATTCACACATATTCTCGCGTATATTCATGAATAGAGTCGATAATACGATATATTATATA